TTGCAACTCGCGAATGAGATCGCTCGTCGTAATTTGAAAGAGCGAACTGACAAGCAAGCAGACTCGAACGAAAATTTATCCGTACCGCAGTTTACTCCTGGGGAACAAGTTCTCGTACATCGTCCACACACGTTATGGATGGCCCCAATCCCAAGCTGATCAGCCCTTGGCATGGCCCATTCACCGTTCGTTCAAAAGTATCACCCGTCATCTATCGTGTTTGCAAAGACGGAGAACTCGCGGAAACGTCAGTACACTTGGGTCGTATGAAAAAGTACTATGCTTTTCAACGTGATTCTGTCCCCGATTTTTCTGAATTGGATGAGATGTTTTTGGGACAAACCCTTCCAATTCCCGATTTGGATGGTACCGTGTTTACCGTAAAAATTGGACCGTACGTCGTCGAGGGGATAGACAAATTTAAACGTGGAGCAGGAAAACCGTCTCTCCATAACTTCCAATATTATTTCCTCCTCAAAGACCGTCCTGAAAGTCTTGGGTGTTGGAAGCACTTCAAAGAAGTACCCCAGTGTCACGAGATGATCCGTTCATATCGAGCGTGCGTTCTTCGTGATAATCCGCACGCCTTTGATCATCTTCCTAGAAAGTAGCACTCGTAGCTGCTTCGTATCGTGTTTCGTGCTGCGTTTGCCTTATTCGTTTCGTGTTTCGTTTATTTTCCAAGGGCTATGTTTATTTTTTTTATTTTCGTATGTACATACTTCGTATATTTTATTGTTCGTCGTCCAGCACGATCGTTTCGTAGTGCCCGCCGTCCCCAACGTTCCTTCGCAGTCCGGCCGGACATTGACGTTGTTGGTGGATACGCCCACGTTGGATGCAACACCTCGTGGAAGTCGGCAGGCGGAGCCTAGTTTGCGTCGAGATTCGCCCTCCGCGAACCAAGCATGGTTGCGTGTCTTCGTTTCGTCGGACATGCAGAATAGCGTACGTCATTTTTAAGGCATGACGTTGCCCGTTCGTTGTGTGATTAAATTTTACGATATATATTTCTCTGTTTGAATGCCGTACGACATAGTACCTCGTGCGAGCTCCGTAAACGTTTTCAATTATGATTGGAACGTACGTCCGTTATAGACAATCGTGCGTGGTGTGAAGCGTCCATTGCCGTTGTGTCGCTGTCCTTGAGATACGAGTGCGTCGTATGGGGTCAGTTGATGCTTTATGTGAGCGAATATGCGTGATCGGAAGTTCGTCGCTTTCTCGTCCACTCCGTCCTGAATTGGGGGGTGATATCGTCTCACTTGCAGTTTGGGGGGATTGCAATTGATAATCGACTTCTGGATCCATGCACTTTTGCATTGGTCATACGGTTTTGTTCATGCCCGATTTGTCTTGTCGTTTATATGGTGGATTTTCATCCTACACATCGTTTCTCGCGTGTCGTCCATCGCGAAAGAGTAGATGGTGGTCTTGGCCGTGCAAGAGGAAGCACAGGAGGACCAGACTTTCGTTCCACTACTGCGTCAAATCCATGCTACAGGACATCGTTTGCTGCATTCGTAGTCACCATTCGTCGTCGTTCGTCTACATATGCAGCACCTCTCTCAATTGCGCGATCGCATGAGAAGGTCGTATCGTTAGCTCTCCACGAGCTGTGCACATATATTCGTTCGTTGTTGCCGCTGCATATCGTTTGAGCAACGTTTTCCCAGCTGGTCGACCCACGTCATTTGCCATTCGACACTTGTGAAATTTAAGCCTTGCAGCAAGCAATCGTCTTTCACATGTGCAATGTCAAATTATTTTTCGTTGCTGGATGTCCGTTACGTGCAACTACCAAGCAGTTCACGGCGTTGTCTCAAGGTACTACTGTACATTTTTTTACACTATCGGGGCAAGACGCGCACCGGAGTGATGTTTTTCCTGTACACACGTCGTTCGTCGTACGGTAGATCACATGTGGCCTACAGCGCCGAGGCGGACTGACGTGACATGCTCCGTACACCTTTCGTCATCTGTGTAGATATTCGTTTGTCGTACGGGAATAGTTGCCAAAATTCCTGATTTGCTCTCGTGCAAGCGGTGGTGGTGACTGCGCTATGTACGATTGATGCTCGGATGAGATATTTTTTTGGTGACACGTTCCAAATGTCATAACTACGAAACACAATGCGTTTGTTGAATGATGGCAGTCGCCGTACGTTACGGCCCAAGTCATTTAACTCATGTTTTTCATCAGTACTTCACAACTTCATACAATCCGAGGTATTTACGTCATTCCTGTATCTTTCAATCCGGATCCAGGCCCCAAGATTTAAGATAGGGGGGTGATGTGAATGCCACCTCAGACTATCATAGATTGTGACGTCAGATGACCTGTCGGAGATCTACCTTCGGGGTGTTACCACAGATAGAGTCAGTGCAGCACCAGAAGCAGCAGCAGCCTTTGTTCCATCAGCGGAGAAACTCAGCAGATAACAACAACTGTAGTTAGTTGCAGCAGCAGCGTCAATAGCAAGCCCATTGCTTTCGCCCAGCAGGAGCACGCGAAGGCGCAGGCGACAAGAGTTCGCGCAACCTCAGCAGCCCAGCAGTACATTCAGCAGGAGCAGCAGCAACAGCAGCCCAGAGTCGAGGTTGCCCGAGTCGCCGTCGCAGAACCGGCAGCGGGTGCGCTGCAAAGGCCCGCGGGAGCAGTCGGAGCGGAGTCGTGGCAGGAAAGATGTGCGAGCGTTGTGGTTCAGGGGATGTTAGACAAGATCTCCGTTTTTTGCGGCGCAATGGCACGGCATGACATGTACCACGATGATTGGCTTGCTGTTTGTGTCTTGAAGCCCCGCTTGTTGTTCACAGAAGAAAGAGTTACCCGGGCAACAGGCAAAGGCAAGCTGGTGTTTTCGAATATTAGTATGTTGGCAGCGTTTGAGATAGTGGTTGAGTTCAGCAGTGTGTGCGTGAGATAGGTTGAGCAACAACAGTATTGATCAACTTGTGTGGGCAGCCGCGTGGAGGAGAAGCAGCCAATTGCATTCATACATCATGTTATTGGCGCAGACCGAGTTGGTGAGTTTACGCCGACGGGAGTATAGGAACCAACTTGAGCGCGGTCGACAAGGACAAGACCTTAAACTGAGAAGAGCTTGGCTGGCACCGTTAGGGGTCGACAGTATCATCGATTGGGTCTCTTTCTCAGCTTGGTCGGTGGTCGGTCTTGAATGATTGAGAGTTTGGGTGGCACTACTACGGGTCAACAGCCTCACCGATTGGGTCTCTCATTCATTCTTGACCACACTCAGGATGTGTCTTATCGACAGAATCAAGATCAGAAATCGAAATAAAAAATCAGTTGAAGTCCGAAGAGTCGCCCAAATTCGCCCGCGGTGTCTTATCGAGAAACCACCAAAATCAAAATCGAAATTGAGAAACACGGTGAAGCGCCCACTTCAAGCGGCGAACAGCCCGCCAGTTCCGTGACACGACGTCCGCAGCGTCGCGCCGCATCCCAAAAGAATGGCTCGCGCTCCTGCCAGCCGCCGCTCATGGCTGCGAGGAAAGACAAAGAAGCGCATGAGACAGCTCCTGGAGCTGCTGATGATAATGGTGCTCATGGACGAAGGCGATCCCCCTCAGACCCGGGATAATTTCGTGCGCCGCGAGCGGAGGAGCTGGTACACCTACGCGTTGTAGTACCGCCCGTCACCGTTTGCCCCAGGCTGTGACATCGTCTCCTCTGCTTACTGCCGCTCGCGCGTGAGTGGTGGGTGTCCTCCACATGCCAAGATGCCAAGGCGTGGTCCTCGATGTGTCAAATCGGCACAAAAACCCGGCCCCTACACACCCAATAGCCCGCCACGTGCGCTGTTCGCAAAAGTCGACATCGATTTTAATGTTTTTGCATTTATTTGAGTTCGAGTTTAAGCATAGGAAGATTCCGTGCGGTCTCCATCCAAATGCTTCCGACGGACAGGTGGAAAGTTATTCCATCCAATCACAGCAGATGTTCGTTGGCTCTTTCAGGACTTAAACTGATTTTGGATTTCGATTTCTGATCTTGATTCTGTCGATAAGACACATCCTCATCACCACTAACAACAACAAAAACAACAACAGCAGCAGCAACAACACCACCACATCATACTATCCCGTATCCATCTCACCCTCGCACACGTAAAAGAACTACTAGTGCGTTACATGGCTTGCCAATCGTGCATGCAGGCTGGAAAGACACCCAACACAGCGGTTTGGTCATCACGTGTGACGCACAGCTCGCTTAGGCTTGTGCTCCGTACAAATGTAGGCGTTTTTTTGCCCTTTTTAGGCGATTCAAAAGAAAAATATAGGCGAAGGTTGCACGCTCAAAAAAAACTTTTAAAGGCAACATTAGGCGAATTAAAAAAAAAAAATGGCGAACCTCGGAAACGATGGGCGAACCCCTGAAACGCATGTATTACGCGAAATTTAAATTGAAAATAGAAAGGGTTGTGGCACTCATTGCACATATCCAAGGTTAAGCGCAGCAGCAGTAGTACTGCTGTGTCACAACGCGAGCCAGTGATGCCGCGATACAATCCGTGCATTTTGCCGGCAAGGTGGTACTTTTCTTTGGCCAAGTGATCACACACGCACACGTGAGAGAACCGCAACATGTATTACTGCGTAGTGGCTTAGACTATGATATAATAGTGGTGGGTGGAAATAATGTCGGGCCTTCGCCGGCAGGCGTTCTCCTCGAGGTTGTCTAGCCCGGTAGTACACAATCAAATTAATTGCACACGACACACGACATGGAAAATGCCACATGCTCACATGCTGCACCATCGCCATTCACGCCAACTCAACAAAACACGGAAAGCGAAGGTGCGAACGTGGTCACGAGATATGCTCGAGAGTCGAGAGTGTCGATGCAACGTGTCACGGTGGAATAATACTTCAGCCGATGCCCCCACAAGCACAACCTACGAATTTGGACTAATTCTGACAAGCCCCGCCACCCGGCACATCCACTTCTTCGGGGTCATGTTGGTCTTACTCCTGCCTCAGCCCCCTGCCACTTCTGGCCTTCCCCATATTGTACTCAGGAGTGTGGCAGCGCATATGCGGTCGCTGTACACCTGCTCTTGACGTTCACTAAAGCAGCAACGCAGCAGGGAATAAACTCGTACCATGAACGCTGACGATGGCTGCAACAGATACACATCCAACGTGAGAGCGTGCCACGTCGGGAGGTCCTTCTTGTGGTCGCTCCAGAATGCCATGTTGTCGTATTCAGCGTCGGTGTCAGTGGCGGCGAGGTAGAAATCTTGTTTTTCCGCCAACAACGTGTCCACCATGCCATCATCGACGAAGGGGAACACCGAGATGCTGCGGATCTCGTCGTCGGTGTACTTGTGAGTCTTCATGTGGGGCTCCGTGGATACTTTGTAGGGGGGTGCCCAAAAAGAGGCCAAGAATAGGCGCAAAACACGCCAGATTAGGCGAAGGCGCCCCGAGAATAGGCGAAGGCGCCCCGAGATTAGGCGCAGCGGCTGGCTTTTAGGCAAGCTTTTAGGCGATTAAAATAAACTGTGTTTTTAGGTGCAAGCTCTCGAAATTAGGCGTGTTAGGCGAGCACCTACGGAGCAGAAGCCTAAATTTGCTACAACAAAGGACACAGATTGATGTCGGTTCGGAGTCGGAACAGGGAAACCGTGTCTCCCAATCAGCTCGACCAACCTTAAAAGTGATGAAAGTACAAAAGATGCAGGTGCGAGCGGGCGGTTGCAGCGCTCGTCGCGATGTGTTGTGGAGTTACTCTCGGCTCCCGCTTGGCGCCTCGAGCCCGCGACGGCGGAGTGTCGCGTTGGAGAGCGCAGTCCCCGCCGGCACCGCGAAGGGAGAGAGGCACGGTCGATTGGGGTCGGCGTGCCGCCGAGCCGAGGTCGTGTTGAGTTGAGAGTTGTCCGGAACACCCCGCTGCTCTGTGACGCGCCCAGTGCTGGAGAGTCACTTGAGCTAAGATTACCTACCTCTACATGTACATATCCACGCTGTGGTCGTAAGCCGGGCTCCTCTTTGGTTTATTATTCTCGCGCTCGGTGCAGTGAATGTGTCGAGTCAAAAAAGTATGTCACTCGTGTGTGCTGTTGAGCTTCGGGAGAGTCACAACACTGGCAGCTGGCAGCTAACTGTGGCTTGGCGCTACCTTTTCGGCCTGTCTCTTGCATCACACCTTGACGACACAGCTGTGCCTTCACAATGATCCCACTCCGGAGGTGTCATAATCGTGTGAATTTGATATATGTCGAGAAAGTGGTGTCCATGTTTTACTCGCGCACCCTCACCTTCGGTACGCCGGCAAGACCACTGTGGTACAGTAGGTGTCCCGATATAGTGCCGTTATGTGTCCAGGCGATTTGACCGGCACTATACCGGGCACCGGCACTATTCAGAATTGTGCCTGAATAGTGCCAAATCGGCACTATTCAGGGCCGGAAAATCCCTCTATAGTGCCGCCTTGGCACTATTCAGGACTGTTCGACTTCAGAGTGCAGCGCTTGCGCTTTGCGGGGCTGACAGAGTACCAAGCGAACGGTATTTGGACCAATCGTGAGGTGGGTAACGTGGGCGGGCTTCATTAAGTTTCGTGAGGCTCTTGGACTGTCGAAAACACGGCATTGGTCACATTAAAATTAACTTGATTGACCAGATAGATTTGTTGCACAGCAGTTGTTCTCTTCCCACCTCAGCGCAAGCACTCGCTAGTGAAACGTTGCTGCTGTCTTTCAACCGTAGACTGTGCTGCCTGATAAAGTTCACTTCGCTATCAAGTTGTTTGTGTTGTTGTATTGCAAGAAGGCCGTAGCACTACTATTCTTCAGGCAACCTAAAAGCCACCCCAGACAGCGAAAGAAAGACGCTCATGTATGCACCCGATGTACATTTGGAGTTAAAACATGGATGGATGTGATGCTCCTTACATGCGCATACAAAAAGAGCAGATGAAACTTAAAAAGGGGGTGAAGAAGATAACGAACTCCCCTGTTCCTTCGATAAAAAGCTAGAGAGAAGACCAAGCCTTAGAAGCGAGAAAAACGACCGGCCAACCAAAAGACGTCGTCAGTCTCAGTGCGGTCAAAAACAGAAAATATTTGTTTCTCAAGGAAGTGAGAGGGTGTCATGGAGGAGGCTGAGGTATTCTCTGGACAAAAGATAGAAATGGTGGCAACCGATAGAGGAGAACTACGTGACTGCCAAGGCTCACTTCTTTTGAACACGCGTTTGTTCGGAGTGTTTTCGTCCTTCCTTAGAAGTATTTTATTTACCACCACTACGGTAAATACTTCTAGACTTATACTTTTCCACTATTTTCGGGCTTTCATCTCTAGATTCTGCGCCCCTGCGATGTTTGTTGTGAGGGAGGTCATCTCGCTCGAAACTCTTGTTGTTCCCCTCAACGCCATATTTTCCTCCTGCATCATCACTGCTATCCTTGGCTATAGTTTCCACATCCATCCTTCGTCACTACCACCATCTTCCTTTTCGCTCACATCCCTACTGAAATCCCAGCCTACTGGTGGAACCTAGTCGATCGGTAAACCGTGACATTTGAAGACGTCATACGTACCGAGAGAAACCGAGCTTTACTTGTATCTCGTCGGGAAACCGTCTCCGAATCTTGTTGGCGAGGGAGGCTTGAGGCGAAAAAAGGCTGTGTGAGGGGTGTGAACCGGCCCTACAGCGGAAAGCCCTCAATAGTGCCGGTTTGGCACTATTCAGGCCTGTGTCTGTGTCAAGCAAAATTACCGGCACTATACCGGACTTTGGCACTATTCAATCGGCACTATATCGGGACACCTACTGTATATCAATCCCAATTTGGTCAGGGTCTTGTTTCCATCGTTGAGTGGATGCCTTCGAATAACGACCCATGGGACAGCAACACCAATAAATAACACCGCGGTATGAGAGAGAGAGCAGCGAGGCGAGAGAAAGAGAGAAAGGGGTGGGGGGTTGGGGGAGTCGCGTGTGTTGTGGAACCAGCAACGACAAGAATGGAGACAGAGTAAAGCGTAGGCGACAGAGGAGCTGCGACGAGAAGAAGTCGCATCGTTCCCCGCGTCGCTGTGTCCACAACAGCACACATTAGAGCTAATGTGAGAAACAACAACAAAACAACAACATTCATGGGTTCGAGTCCCGACAGAGTGAGTTTTTTCTCGCTAATTAAATCCTGGTCTCCGTTGGAAGCGACGCGCTGCAAAGCTCGTTGTTAGTAAACTTGACCGATTTCTTAAGTCGCGAAGGAAGGGATTGCTGTGCCCTTCTCGCGATAAAAATATCTCAGGCATGAACCGCAGGAGGGGGTCCAACCCCCCCCTCCTATGTGACCCCGGTTGGGTCGTCTAGCTGGTAGAAGTGGAGGATAGGGGCCACAGGGGCAGACGACAGAGTCCAACGATGGGAGAACAAACAAAAAAGCAAAAAACAAAAACATTCTGGCGCAATGAGAATACGCTTGCTCCGTTATGAGCAAAGGTCCCTGAAGTGGTGAATAACCGTTCACCAACGGGGTAATTTCGCTCTTATTGCAATGTTGCAAGGAATGGCCAAGCGTGGCTGACGTTAGTCAGCCTTGCTAGGTAGGGTGAAAGGTGAGAGTGAGCTTTAAGGGCTCGCTTCCACCCTCCGGCTGGTCACAGCAGACGGAGGGTCTTCTCGTTGTGAGGATCTTCAGACCTCGAGAACGTCGTTCCTGGGGTCACGGATCTATACGGTTGTATGTGCGTCCCTACTATTGGGAAGATACCTATATCCTGGTTTCCACATTGTTGTTGTTGTTGTTGTTGTCTTCACATTAAAAACCATCCCGGTCTCTCTATCCAGTACCTCCTTCTGTCTCAATCTCTCCGTACTAATCCATCACTTGACTCGGCCAATTTCCGTGGTCACAGGCTAACGTACCTAGAAAAGGTATACCAAAATAAAATGGACCCCAAGGGTCAGCAGAGCGATAAAATACAAGAAAACAAAATATAATCAGAAACAAATAAAATAAA